GCAACATTTCAATCATTTTGCACAATGTAAAAATGTGACCCTAAATCTAAAATCATCATTGTAATCTTTAGGAGCATCTTCAGTGTTTGAGGAAGATTCTACATCCTTCGTGTCGGATTCAGTATTAGCTTCTTCTATGTCATCTTCCTCTTCAATAGTTGCGACCGTTTTGATGTTGACACTCATTTTCACTAAGCTGTAAATTCGGGAAGCGAAATCCTTTGGATTATTGAGCATGAAGCCACTCTAAATCGGTATTGTTTGGTACATGGACGGGGCAGTTTTCTTTACGCTTTTGTCCTGCACAAAAATGCAAATGGGCTATCAAGTGTCTGAGCCTAAGCTTAAGTAGAAGTCAAAATTACGTTCAAATAACCTTTTTGTTTCAAAACAAATTTGGATATATTGCTTTTTCCCATACGAAAAAGTTAATTATTTAAATATAATGGTTTACGTACAAATGAGATGTAAAATATGTAACTTATATTCAACTTGGATCAATAAATACTAAAACTTATTTTCACTTATGTAAACTTTTAAAGCTTAGCCCTACATACGTCATGGTCTTTTTCTACTAGCTCGCGTAGTTTTTTGATGATAGGGTATCTCGGGTTATCGAGCATCCTCTTGCCATGCATGTAAGTCTGCTTGCTGGCATCTAATAAAAATTGTGACTGCATTATCCTCTCCATGTTCGCACTCCAACCATATTTTGATGTAAATACTACACATGGTCTGTTGCTTATCTTTAATCATCGATATTCTCACAGGCAAGAGCACCCTTCTACCTTTTTTTCAACTCCTTGAATTCTTTTAAATCCTTCCCCATTTTCAGTCCTTCCTTGGACACGTTCTGGAATTTCTTGTCTTCATAATCCATCAGATATTGCATTAGATATTCATCCATAGGGTCTTTGAAGAGAATAACCTACAAGGACAATGTAAATTCAGTTTCATGAAATAGCAAAGGAAAAATCTTCAATCCAAAACCTCAAAGGGAAGCCACAAGACGAGTTGTTTTAAGTAGAATGCTAATAGACCAATGCATATATACATTGTTATTCTTTTTGTCAATCTCTGGAGGAATGGAAATTTCTCCAATTGTCAATCGACTCAACCCAATAGACGAACCATTTCACGAGCTTACTCACTTCTTCAAATGTCGGCCCAACACATGAGCTGATGGAGAGCTAGCTCGGTCGTAGGTGAGCTACCAAGCTTGCTTAGTTCACGAGCACATGTGAGGCAAGATGACCAACGACTCGCCACACTTAACAACCCTATATACTTGTTACATGTGGGTCAAAAACTTGTTCATGCGAAACCCGCAAATGTACAAGATCGTTGACAAGTAATACGTGATGACTAACATGTATCGTCCCACGATAAATAAAATTCAATTGAAATTTACTAGTTTTTAATTAGATACAAAGTAAACAAACAAAAGTAATTTGTGATTTTTAATTAATCTAACTTAATCTATGAAAGCTTGCAAAATGTGAAATTAAAATGTGTGTGGAATGTGTGTATTGGATTACAAATCCACCTATTTTTATTCCAATTCTCAATTATGTAGCTAGTTCCGTTCTTGCGTTTTTTACAATCGATAATTCTATTGTAATTAATTTTCTTTTCCAAGACAAATTAAATTTATCCTAGTCACGATCCGAATTTGAATGAACATAATGCATTCAATTTCACAATTATCTTGAAAATTGCACACATAACAAATCTTATTCCTAAAATTTATTGTACGCATATTAATCAAGCAATGTTTAAAACATATTGTGAGCCTTCCAGCACTACAAGCAATTATATATTCAAGTAGTAATCAAGAAATCAAATAATAAAATTAGGTATGCAAGATTGATAAAAAATTGCAAGAACTTAATTAAAGTACTTATCTTGAATTAAAAATAAATAAATAAATAACGGTTTCATCTTCATCAAATACATGAAAAGATTTAGCCGAGCATAATGTCAAAATTAAACAAAGAAATGATAAAAGACATCACCAAAGTTGCTGTCGTTTTCTGTGTCTGTGTATAGCCCTCATTAATTTTCATTCCATACATTTTATTTTTCTCTCTTATTTTTGACCACACAATCTTCCATATAATAAATTACACATAAACTGAAATCTTTTTCCTTTTTTTCAACCACTCTTTTAAAAAAAAAAAATACTATTTCGCCCATAAGAAATGCTATATGTACACCATGAGGTGTACACAATGCATTACACCCCTCTCACATGGAGGGGGCCCAAGAATATTTTATTGTGTGTGTGCCCTCTCCATGTGAAGGGGGTGTAATGCTATGAATACACTATTATGTACACATAGCATTTTCCTTCACCCATTTTCATTTCCAGAAAATGGGGGCCAAACGGGGGCATATTATACACACTAGGCTGCCTTGTCAATGTGAATATAGAATCCAATGCTAGCCGCCTATGTATGCATATATAATTCAGAAGCCGACAGCTAGTGGTGGCAATGGCTCGACCCTTAAACACATGAGCTCGGCTCGAGCTCGTGGCTCGTTAGTGATGGGCGGCTCGGCCTTTAAACACACACGAGCTCGACTCGTGAGCTCGTTGATTTTTTCCTTTTTTTATTAAATAGATATAAATAAATTATAAACTCTCCTCCTTTATCCGGATTTGGGACCGATTATGTAAATCCCTATGAATCCCTCAATTTTTGACTCTAATACAAGGCCCAATTTTCTCTCTCCCCGTTTCCGTCCATGTGTATATATATCAATTTAAGGCAGCAATTCTCCTTCTCCAAGCAGTCGTAAACTGTTATATATATTATACTTCAGTCGCCAATGTTGTAGTCTCCCTTTTGAAGTCAAATTCTCATCGATCTCTTTTTTTCCCAGCTGGTAGTGTGTTGTCCAATTAAAGCTCAACTAAATATAGAATTTGATTCCAATTCCAAGTGCAATGGAGGCTTAATTAATAAATTATTTTTCTCCAAGTCCTCAACTTTCAAAGTGCGGAATTTGAATCTCAACTTCCATTCAATGACCAATTTAATTCCCATAATTTAGATTTTGCCATTTCTCGCCAATTTTTGTTTCTTTCCTTCAACTCCTTTTTCATTCATATAGTTTCGACTATTAAACATAAAATACAAAAAAATTTGAATAACTTTTGTCAAACGAACCATCAAATATCGTTATTTTAGGCACCGAATAAATATATAAAATACACTTATCAGTGAGCCTTTGGGGTTATGGTAGAGTCGACTCTAGAGAAAAGACTAGGAAGTATATGGTGCGGTCAGGTCTAGGATCCATAGTAGTCTGGCACGACTAATTGTTATATGTAAGAGTATCTCTAATATTAACGTGGATTGTACCAAAAAAATTGTCACATAAACTAAAATAAATAAAATATCTATAAGAATTCTTTTACAATACAATGTCTAGGACAATTTCCAATCGATTTGGCACAAAAGAGTAAATATTACCAAATGACCGTCTAAATAAGTTGTTTCCCAAAGAAGTGAATCACCATAATTTAATATGTTTCTCTCATATTTCTTATAGTTTTCCTCTAGTTTAATATTTGTCTCACCTATTAAATACATATTGAGTAATGCTACATAGTCTCGTTGGGGTTGCAACTCCAATTTAACTGTTTAGATTGCACGAGATGATACGTTAAATGAAAGATGAATTAAATGAGTCATTTAATTTCACTTAGCATTTAATGTCACATTGGTGCCACTTAGATTGGGATTACAATTCCAGTGGGGATAAATAACATTATTTATATATATTGATAAAATTTGAATCATAGAAGAGTCCATTGGAGATTAAATTTGAATTAGATGATCTATTCATTATATATTAATGTCACATAAATCGAAAGTCTTTTTTTAGATGCTACCTAAATTGCAAATAAAGGAATGCATTGGAGATGTTGACAAACTATGGTGTTTTGGGTGTGCTTGTAAATATTGGGGCTCATTAGTTTTGTAATTTAAAAGAAATTGTGAGTCCTACAAAATAATAGTTGCTCATGCTTTCATTTAGAAAACAATAATTTTTTTTTAAGTGTGCCAAAGCAAACAGATCTCTTCAAATATTGTTTGTGATTTTCAAAATTGACCTTGATTCTTAAACTTCTACTAGCAACATTCGAAACAGCTCCTATTGCGATTTTACTGCAGGATAATGCTTAGAATGGAGGTGGACCAAGGTGTGGCCTTGGGGTGATTCTTGGCCTTGATTTTGTTGACGTATAGTAGATTTTATTCGTGCCTTGAACCATAGCTTGTGGGCAAAGCGGTGGTATCCTTCATCCAGTTAGTATTCGAGATAGAGTTACATGTTCAAATCGATATTGGAGTATTTCCTCGAAGTAGGTGGATAATGCAAGACATGTTTGAAACATATGGAGCCAAGGGAGTGGGCTTGGTATAGATTTTAAGACATGATTCTGCGAATTACAAGGTGGATTGTATTTATATAATGAAGTATAACTTTTGGATAGAGTGGTGACAATATTTTACATCGAATAAAATTGAATATTTTCAACTTATAGCAATATGGAAGAGGAATGTCTAATGATGAATAGATTATATTAAAATAAGAAAAGGTGGATTTAAAGAATTGGGTCCCGTCCTTGCCTCCTAATTCGGTAGCGTGATTAAAGGCTTAAGTTAAATAAGTAGACGCTCCGAGACGTATTAATCGGCCAAACCAAATACTGAACATTTAGCTATTGTTTGTCATCCTTTAAAAATTTAAATTGTTTGTTATAATACTATTCCCCATCATACTTTCACACGATAAAATATATTTTACACACAAACCAATAAAAATTCTTCACTTTTTAACCACATGTTCTCCAAAAAATATTATTCAATAACTCATTATTTCCCAATTAATTCCATCAATCAGGCTCTTATAGTCGAACTCGAACTCGAACTCGAACTCGAACTCGAACTGAACATGCTCTTTAAAAGACTCACCAAACATCACACCCCACCTTACACGCGGTAACAACTAACAAATAACAAGCATTAAATTCCTTACCCTATCCTTCTAGATTTTTGAGTCCACTTCACACACCAAACTTCCAAATTTCCACATAGTCGCAGTTACAAAAGCCCCCTTTATGCACAAGAATTATAGCCAAAGAATCATGACGATTTCTGATGCTGTGGTGGGAAATCTAACCACCATCTACCTGGTGGCGATAGCGGCGATGAAGGCTTACGGGCTGGTTTCAGGACGGAGCTTCAGCGGGTGGTGCGTCCTGATTCTGTCGACCGCAGCGGTGGGTGTGATCTTAATTGCAACTCTGACTTGGGACTTATCCCGCAAGGCCACATCGTATGCCTTTACACGCGATCACGGCCACCACGAAATGTGCCGCGGCGGTATCTGCTGGCACGGCGTCGCCGTCAAATCGCCGGCCTCTCAGGTCCGGTTCCGGTTCCCTCAGCCGCATAATGCATAGAAATTGCATTTGTTGTTTGTATTATTAACGAATACTGGTAACTCTGTTGCAGGTCGAAAGATAAAAGAGAGAGGTATCTAGGGTTTTATTTTTAATTTACCTTTTTCCCCCCTTGTAATTAAAGATCCAATGCTGTTTTCATCACTGTAATTAAAATAATGATGTTTGTGTTAAACTCTATAGTTTGGAGTGTGCGCGTGTTTTTTTTTTTTTTTTTCCTGCCATTTTTAAACCTTAGTCCTTGGCATTATAATGAAAATTGTGAAGCATCCAAGTTGAATGGAGTCAAAAGTATATATTTCAAGTTTAACAATATGGCATTTTGTAAAGGAACTCACAACTTAACAAAGAGATAATAGCGAATGAATCTTGGAAGAGATTTGAAATTTCTCAAGTAACTCATGAGCGATTTCTAAAAGAATTCTAAAAGTATGAACGTTCCAATTTCCAATATTTAGATACTCTTATTCAAAATTTTGTGCATAACACGATTATTCTGATAAGTTTCAAGAGCTGGTACTGGGAATTAATAAGACAATTAGCTGAAGGATTGAATGTATTACTAAGCAAGGGGTTACAATATGAAAAGCAATTACAAAGCCATTCGAGAGGGCTATATCTCTCCTACTTCTTACTCAATTTACTACCCGCCTAAAAGCTTATTTCTCTACTGTTTATATAGAACTTCCGGCCCAAGTAACTGATTCTGTTTTAGCCACTTGATTTTGTTACTGCTTTCCCGCCACATGGAGCTAACACCTTCTTAAGTCTTCTAGAATATGTGTATCTAATGGGGGCTTATCATTACCCCGGGTTTCCAAACACACCTTGTCCTCAAGGTGGAATTCTGGGAAGTTTTGGATAATTGTGGACGTGGACTCCTAAGATTCTTCAGTCGGAGGCAATCCTCTCCACTGTAATAACACTCCATGGCCTGTAGAAGTTTGTTGCGTTCCCAAGACTTTCTCCGGCTCAACTATCCATTCCAAGTTTGCGTCCAATTGTGGAGGAAGCTGCTGGTTGACCAGGTTAGGTCCTAATGCCTTCCGTAGTTGGGACATGTGGAACATCGGGTGAATGAATGCAGCAAGGTGTAACTCTAGATGATACGCAACAGGACCAATACGTTTTATTACTTTGAATGGGCCGAAATAACGTGGTCCTAGCTTTTCATTCAGTTTCTTAGCCAAGGAGCGGAGGCGATAGGGGCGAAGCTTGACATATACTAACTCTCCATCCTCAAAATCTTGTCTGTGACTATCAGCTACTTGTTTCATCCTTGCTTATGCTCTTATGAGATGATCTTTTAGTTCCCTTAAGATGGGAGTCCCGATCATTCAACTGTTGTTCCAAAGTTGCTATTCATATAGATTGGCTACCATAACGAAAGAACGGAGAAGGTTCCCGCCCATAGACCGCGTGAAAGGGAGTTGTATTTGTTGAAGCATGAAATGTGGTGTTGTACCAATATTCAGCCCATGGAATCCAGTTGGACCAACTGCGTGGTTTATCATATGAGAAGCACCGCAAGTAAGTCTCCACGCAGCGGTTAACTACCTCGATTTGCCCATCCGTTTGTGGGTGGTATGCTGTACTTCGATGAAGTTGGGTACCTTGTAACCTAAAAGTTCACTCCAAAAGTGACTGAGGAAAACCTTATCACGGTCAGGGATGATGGAACGGGGAAACCCATGAAGTCTGACTATTTCTTTGACGAAGGTAGCAGCAACTCCTGTGGTCGTGAAGGGATGCTTGAGGGGTATGAAATGAGCATATTTGCTCAATCTGTGCACCACGTCGAACCAATCCTAGTGATATGAAATTGTGAGTTGCCCCGCAGTCTATTAGTGCAGTAACCTTCTACCCTCCAATCGTGCCCTCCACCTTCATTGTTCCCGATGTTGTCAACCTTACAACCGAGTTAATTGAGAGCTCCACCTTCTCTGTGACCTCCAACGGCGCCTCTCTTTCCCCAACCCCTTCCTCTTCGCTGTAATCATCCTCTTCAACCAGTAGGACACGCAGCTCTTTATTCTTGCATGGATGGCCAATCGTGTACTTCTCATCACATCTGAAGCACAACCCCTTATCCTTCTTGGCTTGCCATTTAGTGTCAGTCATCCACTTCGTTGGAAATTCCCGTCGGTGGATCGTGGGTTTCTCTCCCACGGTCACGGTTCTAGTGGGGAAGGTTTCTAGCTTCTTCCAATCTCCCCGGTATGCGGTTAAATTAGTCTTAGGAGACTTTTGGGTCATGGATCCCCTCAATTGGAGAATCCTATTTCGGTCCTCTACTCTTTGTGCAATTTCCATAATGGACCCCAGCCCACTGGGCCTATGTAGGCGGACTTCAGCCTGTATTTCTGGATCGAGCCCATTTACAAAGGTGCTTTCCAGTACTTCTTCAGAAATCCCCACGAGTGGAGCTGCCAGCACTTAGAACGCGCGTCGGTATTCTGCCACCGTTCTCTCTTGTTTTACGGCTAAGAATTTTTCACAAAGGCTGTCGTCCTGTGTCGATCAGATGAGTAGCAGCAACCGCTAGCGAAATTGCTCCCAATTCCGGAATGGGTCCCTCGCTTCTGTCCATTGGAGCCAGGATAGAGCATCCCCATCGAGGCTCACCCCAATTGCCCCCATCTTTTCTCGTTCTGTTAAGCAATTCACTTCAAAATACCTTTCCGCCCTAAACAGCCAGGCGTCCGGGTTTTCTCCGATGAATATTGGCATCTCCAACTTTCGAATTTGGCGCCAATTACTGTCATCCTTCGCCGCCTCCACTGGGGCTGTCCCCTTCCCATAGCTAGCCTTGCCTGCTTCTTCTGTCCATTCCCATGTTCCGGATTTCGACGATCGTTCATAGAACTTGAGGGGTTTTGTGGAAGCTTGGACAGTTCAGTGAGGCTTCCGTCTCCACTCTCTTTTGCCAGGTCATTAACCCCTATTTTCGGGAGGGCCAAAGATGCCACTATTTTTTGGGTTGCCTCCATTGTTTACAGAATGCGGACAATATTTTGAGATAAAAACTCCACAGATTTCTCTAATTCTGGTAAGCGCTTCAAACCTGCCTTCACTTCCTCCATCTCCTTTTCCATTATTTCCACTCGACCTTCAGTTTTCTTTTGAGCCATCAGGATCAGTGCTCTGATACCAATTGATAAGTTTCAAGAGCTGGTACTGGGAATTAATAAGACAATTAGCTAAACAATTGAATGTATTACTAAGCAAGGGGTTAGAATATGAAAAGCAATTACAAAGCCATTCGAGATGGCTATATCTCTCCTACTTCTTACTCAATTTACTACCCACCTAAGCTTATTTCTCTACTGTTTATATAGAACTTCCGACCCAAGTAACTGATTCTGTTTTTGCCACTTGATTTTGTTACTGCTTTCTCGCCACTTGGAGCTAACGCCTTCTTATGTCTTCTAGAATATGTGTATCTAATTGGGGGTGGGGGTGGGGGCGGGGGAGGCGGACTTGTCATATTCAAACATTACGAAGTCACTTTTCTCTGAGATATTATACAAAATAATATGAACTCTTTAGCACAAGTTATCAGAAGTCACGAATCTGAAAATTAATTAGCTGATAAAGTAAATATGAATCAGAAAATTAAATTTGTTATAGGGTAAACATCATTTAGATAAAAAGTTTTATTTTGTTATTATAAAAATAAAGGAATAATTCCAAAAATTATTTGAAGCTCAAAATTAAAATCTCTCCACCACTCAAACCCCAATAGTTGTCACTTACGCAATAATTTAAATAAAAACATAAACAGAATATTCACTTGGACTTACTTTCTCCTGTTTCTTATCCTCCGGTTTGTACATTGTCAACTGTTTATTTTTTGTTTACAGTATTTATAAGTGCACTTTTACGGCAGACACTGAAAATGGACCGGAAAGTACTGCAGAGAATATGTTACTGATCCAACGGATCCAATTGTTTCCAATTTCACTATCACTCCATCCTGATCTTTAAATTATCTGCTAATCCACAACAAATTAGGGCTCTTCCAATTTGTACGAAAAAAAAGGAAAAAAAAAGAGCTCTGTAATGGCGGAAGCCCAATCGGACCAATCCTCCACCACCCAAACCCCAGCATCATCAGGGTCCGACCCAGATATCTTACAGTACTGGTGCTACCACTGTGACAAGCGGGTGTCGATCGAAACCCTAGCGGATCTTCCTGATGTTATATGTTATGAGTGCAAGAGTGGATTTGTTGAATCAATTTCTGCTACTACAGTTCCATCTCCTGGTGACGCGCCATCACGAGCCGGTTCTGATCCTATTGATGACCCTGGTTTTGGTAATCAGTTTATTCACGTTCTCCGCCTCATAGCCGAGGCTGCACGTGAGGAGGACGCTCCTCCTCCGCCTCCCTCCGAACACGCAGATCTGTCTGATGATGATTTTTTACGGATCGAGTTGGATGGATGGGTTGATGATGAGGATGATGAAGAGGAGCATTCAGTGGAAGGCCATGAGGATGAGAATCATGAGGTGGAGAATGAAAATGAGAACCTGGATCAATCTGATGGTGAGCATGGAGAGGTGAATGCGGTGAACGAGAATCGGAGTGAAGATGAAGAAGAGGAGACGCGGAGAAGGCGGCGTGATGTTCTACGGCTTCGGCTAAGGGACTTTGCTGCTCGAGCTGCGAGCAGGCGCAACAGGATTCTTGATTGGGCCGAGATTTTAATGGGGCTGGAGGACCACTCAATCGAGTTGCGATTACAGGTTCCAGAATCTGATACTTTTTTCGGAAACCCGGGTGATTATGTAGATGCTGCAGGATACGAAGCATTGCTGCATAATTTAGCTGAAAGTGACAGTGGAGGAAGGCCAGGGGCACCACCAGCTTCAAAGGCAACAGTTGAAGGGTTAGAAAACTTGTTGATTAAGAAGGAAGAGGAGACATTGGTGTGTGCTATATGTAAAGATTCAGTGAATGTGGGTGAAATGGCGAGGAAATTACCGTGTGGACATGGATATCACGGCGACTGCATAGTCCCATGGTTGTGGTCACGAAATACTTGTCCCGTGTGTAGGTTTGAGTTGCCAACTGATGATCCCGATTACGAGGAGGAGAGGAAGAAAAGAGTTGTCGTGGCAAGCCTTAGAGCACCTTCCTCGAGTTCTTCCGGTGGTGCAGGTAGCTATAATTCTGGCTTCGATTGATTTACTGTGGTATGCTAAAACCTTCTTCACTTTGTTTCCTATTCTCATGTTTAGGAGTTTTTCCTGTTTCTGTTCTTCTCTCTCTCTCTCTCTCTCTCACTATTTAAATTGGAACTCTGTTCGTGTATTAGCTTATTGTGAATTGGGCAGATGCCGCAGATGAATTGTATTTTGACTTCTTTTCTGTAAATAATGAACTCACTTTTTGGGAAATTGATAATATCGGCCTGTGGACATTTGAAAAGCCAAAAGCTGTTTTCGAGACTAAGAAGTGGTTTGGGGTGAACGAGAATCGGAGTGAAGATGAAGAAGAGGAGACGCGGAGAAGGCGGCGTGATGTTCTACGGCTTCGGCTAAGGGACTTTGCTGCTCGAGCTGCGAGCAGGCGCAACAGGATTCTTGATTGGGCCGAGATTTTAATGGGGCTGGAGGACCACTCAATCGAGTTGCGATTACAGGTTCCAGAATCTGATACTTTTTTTGGAAACCCGGGTGATTATGTAGATGCTGCAGGATACGAAGCATTGCTGCATAATTTAGCTGAAAGTGACAGTGGAGGAAGGCCAGGGGCACCACCAGCTTCAAAGGCAACAGTTGAAGGGTTAGAAAACTTGTTGATTAAGAAGGAAGAGGAGACATTGGTGTGTGCTATATGTAAAGATTCAGTGAATGTGGGTGAAATGGCGAGGAAATTACCGTGTGGACATGGATATCACGGCGACTGCATAGTCCCATGGTTGTGGTCACGAAATACTTGTCCCGTGTGTAGGTTTGAGATGCCAACTGATGATCCAGATTACGAGGAGGAGAGGAAGAAAAGAGTTGTCGTGGGAAGCCTTAGAGCACCTTCCTCGAGTTCTTCCGGTGGTGCAGGTAGTTATAATTCTGGCTTCGATTGATTTGCTGTGGTATGCTAAAACCTTCTTCACTTTGTTTCCTATTCTCATGTTTAGGAGTTTTTCCTGTTTCTGTTCTTCTCTCTCTCTCTCTCTCTCTCACTATTTAAATTGGAACTCTGTTCGTGTATTAGCTTATTGTGAATTGGGCAGATGCCGCAGATGAATTGTAATTTGGCTTCTTTTCTGTAAATAATAAACTTACTTTTTGGGAAATTGATAATATCGGCCTGTGGGCATTTGAAAAGCCAAAAGCTGTTTTCGAGACTAAGAAGTGGTTTGGATAATTTTCTAAGAGTGCATTGTCACTAGAAGAGCTTTTAGAGGAAGAAGGGCCAGTGTAGCTTTCTCACGAGGAAGCAACAGAAGCTGAAGCCTTGCTAACGGACCCTATAAGTTCTATACAACATAATTCTCTGCATATTATCCAATTTTTGCCATTTTTATTGTTCTTTTCTTGCGGGTTTCTCTTGCATTTGTAGGATTTGATATTTTTCACCACTCAGTGGAAGGTATTATCATTTTGTTGGGCACTGCGACACTGATTGAATACCAAAATTGAACAGATAGGATATGCATAATTGTTGCATAAGTTTAGATGAATGGTTATCTTCAGGAATACATGAATGTTAAATTCTTGATGATATGGTTTAGATGACAGAGCGATAGTTTATTTTATAACATTTATCTTATGTTAATTGGGAGATTATGCGTTGAGCTACTTGTGTGACTGAATGAACAACCAATCTGAGATGACAATTTCAGCAGAAATGGATTGGATATGTTATTGATGACACTTGGAATCAGCAGATAAATAGTTCAAAGATATTATTATGGTGTGTCTTAGTAATAGAGACAATTTAGAGGGAAAACAAAGCGAAAGGGCTCATAAATTGTCAAGCCCCTTGTAGAACGGGAAATACATGGAAATGACCTATACAAAGAGGTCATTTTTCCAAAATGACATTTGACCAATTCATCTACCTAAAATATCCCTCCTTTTGAATATTACATAACAAATTATGATATAGAAATCTTCCATTTTAATCCCTAAAATTAATTATTACTTAAATTTTGATAGATTTTTATTTATTTGGTTTATTTGATTTTTGTTCACTCAAAGTAGCACCTCCCTAATTGGTATCAGAGTCATAGAGATCATGGAAATTAAATTAAGAAAAATAAATAATTATTGGCATTTAGAAGAAGAAAGAGGAAGTTATATATTTTTAAAATCTATTCATAATAAATTAAAAATAATGATATTAATAATAATTAAAGAACTACCTAGAGAAATAAAATAACAAATATTAGAAAAATTAATAATAGAAATAATAAAGGATATATATATATATATGACAAAATTTTTAATATATATGAAGATGAAGAAATCAATTTATATTATAAAGAGAAGTATGAGTTCAAATAATAATACATAATTGAAATTAAATAGATTATTTATAAAAATAAAAAAATACAAGAAGAAATCCGAGATATAATGTTAATACTAGAAGGAATAAGAGTATCAAATAAAATACAATTAATAAAATTAAAATGTGAAAGATTAAGACTTGAGAGTAAATATTTTAATACAATAAAAGAAGAATTAGTAAATACAGATAACTATACTAATAGAAGATTTGGAATAATAATAATAAATAAAAAAGATGATAAAAAATGCAAATTAACTTATATGTTAGAAAGATGATCTTAATATGCTAATAAGTGAATATATAAAAGAATTAAAGTCATTAATAAAAATATTAATAAATGATATACAAGATTTAAGAAATGAAGTAAGAGAAACAAGAAATGATATAAATATATTAAAAATTGAAATTAGATAAATAAAAGAAAATAATAAAAATAAAGAAAAGAAAATAGATAAAAAATTAATAGAAAAAGAAATGACTTGAATATGAAATAAATATATTGAAAAAGAGAGTGTAGTAATAGAAACAGGAAGTATGGATGATGAATTTAGGAAAAATATATTACCAAAAATATTAGAAAAAGAAGAATCTAGAGAAAAAATAGTAGGAAAATTAAAAGTAGAAGATAAAGATGAATGAGGAATGAGATTTACTAATAGAAAATTTTGATCAATTAAGTTTAACTGATATAAATGAATACCAAGTTTTAATTAATACTAGAAGAGGACCTAATCCAATAGAAACCACTAAACAAGAATTACAAGATTCAAACGAAAGCTATGCACCCATATATAATAAACAATGCTTACAATTTTATGATAAAGTAAGAGATAGATAATCACCTAAAGGAAGTAAATATAAAGATAGTTTGAATTAAATGATAATTATGATAAACCAATTAATCATGGAAGAACAAAATTAGATTTAAATTGCAAAATAGATACTAGAAAAGCTTTATTAATTTGGGCAGAGTCAATGATATTATTCTTTTTATATAATAAAAATGACACATGGAAAAATATTGAAAGAAGAATATATTTCTTAACATCATCCTTTGAAGGATTTGTTAGAAATTGGTGGGAAAGAATAGGGGTGGCAAATAGGTCGAGCGGCTCGTCGGCTCGCCCGCTCGGCTCGCAAAAACAGAGCTAGTGAGTGGCTCGGCCTCGTAAAAACACAACCTCGAGGGTTCGGCTCGCAAAATAAACGAGCCGCTCGTTTAAAAAGTGACCGAAACAATCACTTTTTCAGTGACCGTTTCGGTCCCTGAAATTTATTTATTTATTTATTTTTAATTTGTGACAGTTAACGGTCGGTCCTTTAATTTTTAAAATTTTTTTTCTTTCCTCTTCTTCTTCTTCTATAAATAGTGGCATTTAGCCATAAAATTTTCTACAATTCACTCTCAACTCTCAATTATCTTTCTCTCAACTCTCAATTATAGTGTTAATAGTTGTGCAATTTTTATATACAATTTATACAATATTCAATTTTTATTTCTCAGTTTTCACTATATTTATTGAAATTTCATCCAATTTTCATTTCTCACTACATTTATACAATTATTCTTTTACTAGTTATTACTTATTACAATTAAACAAATGGATTCACGCACATTTGTCGAAAACTTGTTCGGTGTGGGAGGAAACGAATCATCTATGACACTACAAAGTCAATTTTGGAATCAATTTGAAGGTTTAAATGACGTATCTCTACCTGAAGATATTCCAGATTTGGATCTTCATCATTATGTAAGCGACAATCCAAATAATCCAATTAATTTGGATGATGTTGACGTTCCTGAAACGAAACATGATCAGGAAGAAGATGTTGAATTAAACATTTCTGATGCGAGGGGAAAGCGAAAGGGGAAAAAACAAGCAAAATGTTGGGATCACTTTAAGTTGATTTCAACGGAAAAAATTGTCAATGGAGTCCCAGAATCCAAAGCAATAGGTAAATATTGCCAACAAAGATTGGCACGGCAAAGAGGAATTGGTACCACCCATCTCAACCGTCATTACAAAGTATGTGCGGCCAAGCACGAACTTATTCCAGGCTGTCAAACACAATTGCAATTTGACAGTCCAGACACCGGTAGTTCTGCTGCATCCCTATCCACATGGGTGTATTCGGAGGAGAGAACTCGAACTGGAATGGTGAAGCTTGTTACTGGTGCTGAGTTGCATTTGACATTAATTGACAACCAACATTACGTTTCGTATGTGAAAGAATATCTACAGCCAAGGTACGTTGGGGTAAGTTGAAACACTCTTCGTTCCGATACAATATAATATTTTACTGAAACAAAACAACAATTATGGATTTGCAAAAATATGGGGGTGTCATATCTTTAACTTCGAATAAATAGGAGGGATTAATAAAAGAGCATATATAGCTGCAACTGCACATTATATAGACCCACTTTGGTGCATGCATAAAAAAATTATTACTTTTAGAATTATTGAGTTTTCTCACAACGCTAATAATATATTTAATGCTATTATTAGTATTGTTAGAGAATATCATTGCGAAGGTAAAATTCGTTCATTTACTTTCGATAATACTAGTGTTAATAAAGTAGTTGCCGATAAATTACATAGGTACTGCAACCTGATTTTAGTAGGTATTTGTTTTATATTTGTTGTATATGTTATATTTTGAATTTAATTATCCAAGATGGTTTAAAATATATAAAGAATGAATTTCAAAATATTAGGAACGCACTAAGATATATCACAATCTCTCCAAATAGGAAACAAACATTTGAGGATTATTGTGCCGAAATAAGAGTGCAAAATGCTAAAACATTTGTTAGCGACGTAGGTCATATGTGGAACTCTACTTACTTGTTATTAAAGTCATGTGAATGTTTTGAACATTTAATAACTGACTTTTATAACAATAGACATGTTAGAAGTGATGATGAGGGTATGTTGACTGAACGTGATTGACTAATAGCTTTGAAAGTTAAAAGATTTTTGATATCTTTTTATGAAACCACTAAGATTTTATCGGGCGTTTACTATCCCACCAGCTGTATGGTGCTTGAACGTCTTTATATAATTGCAAGAACATTTCATAAATACAAAAATGACCTTGATTTTAGTGAAATTATAATTGCTATGAAATTAAAATTTAGAAAATATTGGGAAGATTTGATTATGTTATTTCCTTTAGCATGTGTGATGGACTCCCGATATAATTTATCGGGAACTAAATATATAATTGATCAAATTTCAAACGTCTTAATATTTGATACACCTATCACATATAGAAATTTAGAGCAAACATTATATGAAATGTATGAATTATATGCGAACCAAATGGGTACCAATATTAGTCGGTACCATCTGAACCTACTCTTTCCGCTGAAATTGAAGAAGAAAATGCGGAAATATTTAATTTATTTTAAGGTATTAATTCGTATAGATATGATTCATCTGCAATGTGTTTATCTACTGCCACTACCATGTCGTCCCCATCTGTATCTCATTCTCATCAAACATATACGGACTCAAGCCATAATGCATTGCCTACTGAATTAATTAATTATTTCAACCAGAATATGTCAACAGATAAAACAATTAAAAAAAGTTCAGACGAAGTAATTGAATTCTGGCGAAGGTAGGAACGACGTTGGCCAGTTATATCTGTGATTGCAAAAGATCTGCTGACACCTCCATTTAGCATTGTTGCTTCGGAGTCTGCTTTTAGTACAGATAAAGAGTTTTGAGCGAGGTCAGGAGTCGACTGAAAGAAGATATTTTAGAAGCATTAATGTGTGTTAAGGATTGGTAGGACGTTCATTTTCGACTACAAGATAAATATGTCGAAATTGCATGTCGTCAAGTAAGTGATATTTGATTTAATTATATTGATGAAACTTTTCTTTTCTTATCATTACTTTTACTTTTCTTTAAAAAATTGTACACGCTACAAAAAATTGTTCGTGTACAATTTTTAACTCCGTTTACTGAAAATTGAAGTAGCCGATCCTAAACCCGGATAAAGGAGGAGGGTTTATATTTTATTTATTTTTAAAAAAAATAAAAAAATAAAGATTTCATTTTTATTTTTTTCTATCTCTTTTAGTTTAA